CACTGCCTTGCCAAAGACGTATGCCGCTCCCTTTTTTATGTGACATTTTACATGTCCCATTAGAGATTTTGTATGCACTTTGAGCAGGGAAAATGCCTCTGACACATATTTCTCGGCAGAATGAGATGCAGATCCATGTCCCTGCTTGGAGGTTCTTTCAGGTGTGGTGCTAGGCAGACTGACTCACTTTCCTAGAGCAGGTAGTTGTAGAGGTCCTTTTCAGGAAACCCCAGATAGCAAACGTGAAGAGCACTGCAGTGCATAGACATAATAAGAGGACTTTGGGTGGGGGACCTTATAATTAACCTGAAGTGCTCTGAAATGGTCCCTCCCACGTGTCCTCTGATTTAAGAGTGTGTATAATTTCCAGGTGAAGTGGAGAGAAAATCCAGGATATCTGGATGGCGTTAACTTATGAAAAGATTTAGTGTTTCTCCCACTAGGATCCCTTATGTTCATACTCTCAACTTTTGGTTTTGTTTTGTTTTGGTTTTTTTGAGGTATGGTCTCACTATGTAGCCCAGGCTGACTTTAAATTCATGGCAGTCTTTCTGCCTCAGCCTCCCAAGTGTTGGGATTACAGGCATGCACCACCACACCAGGCTTATACTTTACCTTAAAGAGGTGCACTGCGGCAGAAATGTGGTTCTCTGTATACCGTTTTCAGCTTTTATCACACTAAGCCTTTATTCATCTTGTTCTCTACACTTTCTTTTTTACCTGTTCTCTGACTCCTTTTATCCATCACTTCCCTGACTTGATCGCCAGCACCCTGTCTCTCTCCCATTCCAACAACCTGGGTGTGAACCCTGCCTGTGTTTCTTCTACTTAAGAAAATCTTTCAACCATGTCTGCTCTTAAATTCCATTCTCTGTCCTTTCAGTCTATAGAGCACCTTATGGTTGATACAGTGTGTTAACTTGAGGAGTCTAGAAGCTTAACTAAGTGACTCAGCAGTTCTACATCCTGGGGTGAAAAGGACATGCCCTTCCTGCTGTAGGATGCTGTTTTGTGTGTCAATTTGAGAAGTTTAGAAGGTTAACTATGTGACTCAGCAGGGACCCAGGATGCTTACTTTGTATTCATCCTGAACCTGGGCAGACGGAGGGCTTGGAGATGATGCAGGTGTAAAGGACCAGCCCCTCTCCACCAGGGTGGGTAGGCTACATACAGTATAAGGGAGGAAAAGAGGCTTATTTACCCCTCTTTTTGCTTTTGCTATCTTGTGTTGCCTTGAAGTGTTGCCCCTGTGCCCTGCCACTCTGCCTTGGAGCCAGCTGACTGTAGACTGAAATAATCTTACAAACTGTAAGCTAAATAAACCTTTCTTTCCTTAATTTTGGGCAATGGGTATTTTGTCTCAGCAATGAGAGAAAGGTAACCCAGACAGAATAGTTCTTGGAACATAGCCGGTGCTGGGGAAATATCTGCAGAACACATGGCTGAATCCTGCTTTCCCCTGTCTAATGGGCTCCTCCACAGCACGTACCTGCTGCCCACCCCAGGTCTCGCCAGCCTCTCTGTCCTGCAGCAGTCTCCGGGCCCCACCAGGCTCCATGTTACTGTGCTCTCTGAAGTCCATGGCTGCATAAGACCCTCCTCGGTCTGTATCATCCGTTCCCTTTTCCCTCTGCTGCATTCCCCCAGTCTCCTGTGTTACTTCACTGGGGAATCAGAATACCCTGCCTTATTCATTTATTTATTTTTTAACCAGGGCTCTCATTTCTCTCCCCTTCGGTCTCCTGAATGAAGCACACGCTTTTCCTAGCTCTTCCAGGCTTCATTCTCTGTGTGAACCCAGCTATGCCACTGGCTTCAAGGAAAGCGTCTATAAAGTCATCCCCATGTGCACACAGCCCGTTTCGACCTCACATCTGAGCTCTGATTCTGTATTCCAGAAACCTCCCGAATGTATCCATGTGGTTTCTAGTAAAATATAAAGAATAATTTATTCTGAATTTCTAAGCATCCCATTATCGTACTCTCCAACCAAATTCATTTTCTTGGTGTCACCATTTCCACCCAACACCCCACCATTCTTTCTCCCAGTTAGTGCGTTTCTAAGTGTTGGCATCTTCTGCGAGCCCTTCCTTAAATCCAGACACAGGAGTCTTACTGTCTTTTTGTAAAGTTCTCTGACTAGAATGTAACTTTCTCGGAGGCAAAGTCTGGTTTATCTCATCATAACTGTTAGCCTGCATCTACCTCAATACCTCATAGATAATAAAAAATCATTATGTAAGTAGCCCGATGCCTTGCTCTTCCTCTTTTAGGCTCTGAATTATCTGCAGGGGAATGGCCCTGTCTCTGATTCCTGCTATGTCCCGTGCACACCCCGCTCTGCATGTTGCTCATAGTGGGAACCTAATTATTCCATGTGGAGTGAACTTTAGCAAAGGTCTCAATCGTCCTTCGCTCCTCTTGGAATGAAGTTGAGGGTGTCAGAGCTGGGATGGTACCGTTGTGCTAGAATGGCCTCCTTATCCTCCAGCAACTTCAGGGAGGGGCAGGAAACCACTGAAAGCACCTCCAGTCCCTGAAGTATCTCACCTTTGCAGGAGCTCCTGGAAGGGAGGAGTCTGACGTCACCACCAGTGCCACTCTGCAAATGCCCAGCTTTGAGCACCTGGCCAAATCTGACATTTTGCGTCTAGTTCTGTTTTTTTTCCCACTGTTTATCTTCATCATACTCTCACAACTGGCCTCGTTTTAAAACTTCAGGACTGATTCTCTCCCATGCTTTTCCTCTCTGCTCTTAGCTCCTAAGCACCCTCCTTTACTCATTGGCAATCCTGGGACCTCTCTCCCACCCTGGGCAAGATAGCTACCTGAGTTGTCTCTGCTGCCTGCTTACTGCAGGGTTCACTGGAGATTGTGCTGGGGGACAGTTTGTAGGGCTGTGCTAGCGGCAATGCAGAATCTCTTGGCACTTCCTCTGTGCCTACCCTGGTTCTCTGCCACTGTCCTCTTTGAGTGTCTTTCTCTCTCTCTCTCTCTCTCTCTCTCTCTATATATATATATATATACATATATATGTATATGTATATGTATATGTATATATAAAGCACAGTTATTTAGGTGAAGATTGAGAGGTAGACATAATAAAAACATTATTACTTGCCCTGAAAATGTATAATAAAGGGACTTTTATGAGATATGACAGCTTTTGAAGGTTAATGAACCATTTGGCATTTTCTGAAGCAGCGCTGGCACCAGAGCCTACTCCCCTGTGAGTGGGGGATCCATCTTTCTTTTCTCACCTGGGTCCCACTTGTGCTGTTTCTCCACTTGTGGAAATAGTGGCAGGGACGTTTCCTTATGAATGATACATTTGAATCCTTTTGTAGTGGAGACTGAATTTATTTTCCTTTTCCCCTGAGGGCTCTGTGTAGAACTTTCTCGGACTGCAGGAAGCATTCATTGCCCCGAGAAGAGTAGAAAGTGCCCAAATAAAGACAGAGCCTGGATTCAAAGCATGCTTTTGCAATGCACTCTGAGACAACAGAATGATATAGGTCAACAATACACTGCAGTTTTCATAGGAGACCTTGAACTTAGTGTAAGAAGACAAGACAAAAATCCCAGTATAAGCTTTCAACTATGGAGCCGGGCCAAGCATGTATTCCTGTTGGGGGCCTACATCACACACTCAACACCACGAGCTGGTTTAAGGCGTCAGCTAGTACAGCTTTGGACCACAATGACCTTGAGTGTATCTACCCTGGGACCATTAGATTTGAAGGTGGTTCCTTTTGGCCTCTCCTAAGCATGCTCCACCTTCCCTTGGCTTCAGGGCTAATGGCCTGTGTGGGTGCATTTCAGGAGCACAGGGACTAGACTGTAATACGACCCATGAGGCCAGTTGTAAACAAGGGTTATTGAAGTAGCTTCTCCAGGTATCACACTACCTGCTGGTATTATCTTCTCTCAAGTTGGTGTGAAGCTCAAGGCAGCCATATAAGTAAATAATAGGCTGGCTGAAGATAGCAGTTAACCTCCATTGAACTCCTATTATGTGGCAGGTGCCAGGGGCAGTACTTGTCATCACTAGCCTGCCTGGTCTTCACACTATTTCTTCCCATTTTGCAGATGAGGAAATTGAGTCTTCAAGAAATTAAGTAATTTGTCCAAGTTACATAGTTAGTAGGTGGCAGGGTTAGGACTTGAACACAAGCCATCCTGACTCTGAAATGATGCTTTTTATGCACCCCTGAAGGCTGTAATGATTGTGGAAACACCAAACCCTTGAAGAACTGCATAATTCTGAGTTACAGGGAGATGCTTAGATTTAGGCTTAAGAGGTTATGCTACCCAATGCTAGCTCTCTTACCCTGAAAGACAATGCATACTGTAAATGCTTCTCTTCCATGTGTAACATTCAGTTGCAAAGTGGGCATGAGTAAAATCCATACCCACGATATTTTTAAACAATTAGGAATATTGCAGCTGCTGCTCACCGGCATCCCTACCACTGGCACCTATGAATGCTGCTTGTACCTGAGATTAGTATAAGAAACTGAAAGAGTAAATAAAATCCGAAAGGCACAATAGCTACTGTGAAAGGGAAAGAAACTGCTAGGAAAAGGAAAAAAGAAATAAGGGAAAAAATATATATGTATATACAAGATAGCTAAGATAATTGTACCATTAATTTCTATTGGTTCATTGAAAGGAACAGTTAATGCTCAATTTTTGGGGCCAGTTTTACATACTTGTATCTAGTAATCTGAACAAGTACTTTGAAGATAGCAACATGCCGTATAACAGCTGTTGTGGATTTCCTATTACCTTGTTTTGAAATTCTGTATGGTTTTTAATGTTTTTTTTTCTAATTTTTATTTTTTTTTAAATAAAAAAAATCCTTTGTTCATATACATCTTAAAAAAAAAACAAAATGCTTTACCTCATTTAATCCCCCACCCCAAAGTCCCTTTGTGACTGGGAAACAGTATTCCACAAACAGAGATATTTGTTCAAGTCAGATCTTGTTTTGTTTGCAGAGAATGGCAAATCAGTCAATTGGAAACTGGGAGCTGATAAGGAAGTGTGGGTCTGGGTGATGGGCGAACACCACCTGGATAAACCCTACGATGTGCTCTGCAATGAGATCACCGCTCAGAGGGAGCAGCTGAGAGCACAGAAGGAAGCGGAGGAGCTCAGGTAGGACTGGGCAGGTTTTAATAGACGTGCAAAGATGCCCCTGGCTCACAGTGTCTGGAGGAAGAGCAGGGTGGGATGGGAAGGCTGTGAAAATCATTTTAGGTCTCTCTGTAAAGTTTCTTCACATTGTCAGTGATTCCCTTGATGCCCACAATGCTCTCAAGTCAGCTGGCTCCTTTGCCACTTGCCATCCCAGCGCTAACCTGCATGAATATGCAGCTCCTCCACTGATCATCACTGACTTCCTAGAGCCATGGACAAGCAGTGCAGCATAATAGTGGGGCATCAGGAACATGAGTGAGGGCTGGTGGTGCTGTCCCCAACTCCTGTGACTTTAAAACTGTAAATGCACATTTGGAGGTCATGAGGGAAGTTGCTGCAGATCATAGGAAGGCTGTAGACTCTAGCAGTCCAACTTCTAAATCAGGAGTTGGGTAGACCTGGGTTCAAATCCCGGCAGTGCCCTTGCAAGGTATTAGATAAAACCGTAAAATATTTTTTTTTTTGAGCCTCTTTACAAAGCAGATATAACAAAGCCTTCCTGATAGGTTATTGTGATGATTTACTTCCTGTCTTTAGAGCACCTAGCGAAGACTCTGGTAGGTTATTAGCACTATAACCAGCAATCTGTTACTGGTTTTCATATAGTTTAAAAGTATGCATTTGGTGTGGAAAAACTGTCCATGCTGAAGAATTTGTGCTTATTTCACTTTGATTTCTCCTCAGAAAAACTCAGTCTAACGAATTCACCAATAACTTGACAACAAAACCACAGCCCTACAATCTGCCAGCACCAAACACCATGTGTAAGGGAGCAGCAGGGAAGGAGGAAGCGAGGCAGCTGTCCAGCCCAGCACCGGCCCTCAAAGCAGAGCAAACCAAAGTGAGTCTCATGCACCTCCAAATGTGCAGAATTCCACAACTGGGGGAGATGGGGATGTTGGAGCCGTTAGACAAATGTGAGCGTGACCAGGACCTTCAGCTAGATTTCCTGGGAGAAATATTTCCTTCTAAGGTCCTGCCATTCATTTTATTTTGGGAGAATTGGCTCACCTATGTCATGCAAAAGATAAAGCACCCCTGTTTTATGGGACTGAACATACTAAAAGTTCTAGAATACGGTTTTTTTATCGTCTTTTTGAGACAGGGTCTTGCTATGCAGTTCAGGCTGGGCTTGAGCTCATGTTGTAGCCCAGGCTGGTCTCGAACTTGCAGTGATCCTCCTGCCTCAGCCTCCTGAGTGCTGGGATTACAGGTGTGCACCACCACACCTGGCTTACAGTTTGGTATTTAAAGATAGTTTCTGATTTTTTTCTCATTAAATGCCTTCTATAACAGAGTTCAACACATTTTTTTCTGTAGAAGGCCACACGGTAAACAGTGGAGGCTTTGTGAAATGAGCATGGCTGTGTCCCAGTAAACTTTTACTTTGCAGGTCAGTCCCTGGACTGGATCTGACGTATGTGTCATTTGCATTCTGTTTTATTGAGCCCTCCTGCCCTCTTTTTTTGCAGATCCAAACCATCAGTGTCTTTGTGACATCATGGATTCTGCCTGTGATTGTGTGTGACTGTATTTTTCCAACACAACAGAATTCCATACTCAGAACTATTATGAATTCTCTTATGGTCCAGGTGGTTCAGAAAGCTCAAACATAATTTGCTGCTAGGATTATAGCTTGAAAGAACAACAAAATTCTATTATGAAGTGCCTTTCCTGCCAGGAATTTAATTATACTGTGAATTAGCAGGGGATTTGCAGTTGTTTGACTGCAGCCTTTCCCTGCTGATTCTGTGTGCTCTTGATGTCTTCGAGGCTGTCAAATGGGGATATAGTTATCTGTCCCGACTACTTTTGGAGGGCTAGTAATATTTTTATAATTAACATGGCTCCAGAGTGATTGTATGGCAAGGCAGACACAGACTGGTGAGTGTCTTGTTTGATGCTCACAGCATTGTGAATTTGAGTCTCTTGGTATTTGTCCATTTTATGGATGAGGAAACTGAGGCTAGGTTTGGTTAAGCAACCTGCCCAAGGCTTATTCACACTCAAGTCTACAGGATCCCTAGGTCACAACTTAACATTAACTGTTGTACTTGATTACCTCATTAATATGAGAAATGTAAAGAAGCTTCCTAAACTGCTACAAATATGAGGTTCAAAATATTTAATACAAAATTCTAAAATTTGCTTTATGTCCCAGGCTCAGCCCTGAGGACTCTCTTCATATGCCTGTAAGGCACCCAAGCTTTCCCAGGCCCGGTATATATTCAACATGTTTAATACCCCTCCCCAGCAACTCCTTTTCTAATGACCTAAAAAAGAAAAGCAACAGCAACAGCAAAAATCCCCCTGAAAGAGCACTAGACAGGTATACTTATCTTTGCACTTGAATTAAAATATTCTCTACTAATTTTTTCAAAAGTAGGGCAAAAGATTAAAATTAAAACTAGATACTATGGTTGTCATCCAAGTGTAATGTAAATATTGCAGGGAGAGTGACATTGCTCTATGCCTTATAGGTCTATTTCAGGTCAGATGGAAAGAGTTAGGGGGAGGGGAGATGGAATCCTATAGGAACAAAGAATACGGAAATAAACAAGTGAAGGGTTTTTACATTTCTGCTTTTTGTCTTTCCCTGTGTCAGAGATCTGCCAGCATCACTCGTGATGTTTGGTGAAGTTCTCTTTGACAGCAGGATGCTGAGGTACGCTAATGGTTACCCCAGCTACACAGATATTTAGATGGCAGGCCATCTTCTCTCACACGTGATGTGATATAATGGTGGATTTCCATGTTGATTTTAGGCCCCATGTTACTATAGTAGTTGGGATACAGTCCCTGAAAATTCATGTCTACCCACAACCTCAGAATGTGAGCTTATCTGGAAATACGTCTTTGCAGATGTAATTAAGGGTTTCAAGATGAGATCATCCTGGACTTAGGGTGGGTTCTAAGTCTGGTAACAGTTGTCCTGAGAAGAAAAAGGCAGAGATAGATTTGAGAGACAAAAACACAGGAACAGGTCAAGTGCAGATAGAGGAGGAACCATCCTGCTCACAGTGGTAGTGTTGGCTAGAAGCCTACCTTGTACGTATTTGTAAAGCACAAACAATGTAATTTAGAGTTTGTGAAGATTTTTCCTACACAATTTATTTCATGTTCATTTTACAACACTCCTGTGAAGTAAATAGGGCAGGTATTAGCATTTCTCTTGTGCAGGTGAAGAAACAGGTGTTCAAAGAGATTGCATGATTTTTCCCTGAATCCCAGTCTGGAAGGTCCTGTGTTTGCATATTTACTTCAGTTCACACTCTTACCGTAACTTTGACATATTTAAATCAGAGCTCATTTCCTTCCCCAGATTTCCTTCAGGTGCGAACTCTGGTAGGAAATCAGAGCTAGAGTGCTGAGAGTCATCTGCTGTTTCCAAAATGCAACTTGGGTTCTTAGCAGAGATCTCCAGGTTTCAGCTAACATTTGCTTTAATTCTGCTGTCTGAAGCAGTGTCTTTAAAACTATAAAAAGAAAGATGCACTATAAAAAGAAAAATCTCCAAACAAATTTTATTGAGCTTACTGATCACAATGCTTGTCTACACAACCATGGAAGGATTTAAAGAGCCACCAATCTTCTAGGATTAAAAGCAACACTGAGGCAAAATCAGCTCTGGATTTACTAAAGTAGTCTCGTTTGACTTGTAATAAATTTCTCCATGATAGACCAGCACCAGAAACTGCCCTGTAGTCTAATAAAGTACTCCAGACCTGCATTTTCTACTGGTGTGGTCCAGAGTCTCCCCAGAGCTATGGAGAGTGGGTGAAAGTTAAATTCAACCCAAACACTGATATACATCCACTGTGTAGAAGCTTTTGTGGAAGAGTTGCTTATTTATAGGATGTTATGCATCTAGTTAATCATGGCCTCTGGTATTTGTACGAAAGCATAACAGCAGACTGAACTTCTTTCTGCCTTAACACTAACCAGTGTTTTTTAGCTGTGCTTTGATTGCCTTAGAAAAGATTGAGGCAAATATGTAGACAGAGTCCCCTTTGGCCTATAAAGCTGGAGTCAGTGTCACAGTTTCTTCTTTATTGTCCTCCCTCTTTACCCACTAATATCTTGAATGGGATGAAATCTGATTAAAAGAATGCCAAGGCCAGCTTCGAGGGAAGAAAACAACACATCAAAGGAGCATAGCGAAGCCAGGCACAGTAGCACATGCTGGTAGTCCCAGCTACTCAGGAGGCTAAGACAAGGGGATTGAAAGTTCAAGGTCAACCTGGGCAACAGAGTGAGGACCTGTTTCAACACATGAATGAGTAGGGCTGGGATTCAGTAGCCCAGCACTCCCTGCATTCAATATCTGAACCACAAAAGGAAAAAAGAAAGAAAGAAAAAAGAAGGTGGGAAAGCAAGCAAGCAAGCAAGAGAGCATAGCCAGAAGCCAGACACATCAGTTGGTGAAACAGGCAGATTTGCCTCGGTGCTGATCATGGCGGGGACAGTGGTACTTGGCATTTTGCATGTGTGGCCCTGTACAGTTCCCTAAAGACTTACATTCACTGTCTCACTTCAGCCTCACAGCACCAATGAAAGAGTGAGACAGATGTTTTTGTTCTCCAAGAGCAGAGTCTAGGACAATGGTCTGTGAAAACACAGCCTAGAGATGGAGCTGGAGGCCACTTGCTTCAGATCCCTGTCCTTCTCTACCCAGGGAAAGTGTAGCATCTGTACCTGCATAGTCACCCTGCTGGGGTCAGGATTCGTTTGGGCCTTTCATTCCCGCTGTAGGCAGGAATGCTGTAAACCTAGATAGTCTTAGCTTTAGATTAAAGGGAAATATCTCAACAAGAAATGTGGGAGAAAGAGCAAGAGGAGGTGGTGAGGCAGCAGTGGGAAATAGGCAGGATTAAACCTCACTGCCTGAGACCTGGACCAGTCTGATTCACACAGGTAGTGCTTTCCTAGGGCCACAGCTGTTGCCCTCTGATTCTCTTCCATGGAGGCTTCTCATCATCAGGATGCAGGAGTGAAAGCTTCAGCGCCAGCAGCAGGGTCATTTAGGGGGTGGGAGGTGAGTCTCATCACCTTTTCCAGCACCGGTTTTTATCTGTAGGAAAATACCTGCCTTAGATGGATTGCAAGTTCGCGCCCACCCTGCACAACTTAGCAGCCTAGTGAGACCCTGTCTTGAAAAAAAATTGTAAAAAGAGGCTGGACCTGTAGCTCATTGCAAAGCCCCTGTGGGTTCAATCCCCACTACCACAAAATGAAAACAAACTAAACAAAATAAAATAAACAACAAACAAAAAACCCTACCTGCCATTTATCTCATGGGTTTGGGGGTAAAAAAAACCCTACCTACCATTTATCTCATGGGTTTGGGGGTAAAAAAAAAATACCACATGAGATAATGTATTTAGAAATGCTTTGAAAATTGCAAATCTCAGTACAAATCAGAGGAGTTGGCTACTTTAACTAGAAAGACTGGCCCCTGGCCCCTGCATGCTAGTCTTCCCAGGACTGCACACCTCACTGTCTTGCCCCATGGGGCTGGTTTGACAAAATCCCTGATTCTCTGAGGAGTGGTCATGCAGGGTTCCATGTGTGATGCTGGATGTTATGGAGTCACAAGGGAGACAAGAGACGAGGTCCTCCTTCGGGAGTCTTAATCCCACTGGGGAGAAGAGAAGCAGTGAGAGGCACAGAATGAGACAAGGTTTAATCTGGTTCCAGGTGGGGAGGGACCCACTGGTTTGGGGAAGGTGGAGATGGAGAGAAGTGGTCATGTTAACAAAGTATAGAGACCCAGGGGAAAGGAGTCTACAATCCCAGGGCAGAGAACATCAGGGGGAAGAGGTGCAGAGCCTTCTATATGTG